TTCCCCGGACCATTTTCCACGCCGGGAAAGACGGACCGTTTCGCACGCCGGAAAATTAAGACCAGACCGTTTTGCACGCCGTAAAACTCAGACCGATGATTCCCCCACCGAAATATTCGGATTGGGACCGTTTTTCACTCCGGAAAATTCGGACCCGACTCATTTTTCAAGCCGGAAAAGTCAAGCCATTTTCACTCCGGAAAATTAGGATTACTTTTCACACGAGAAATAAATCTAGAACCATTAGCTACGCCGGAAAATAAGGACCATTTCCACGCCGAAAAAGGTATTTCCTCGCCGGAAAATGCCCAACTATTTGCCCTGCCGGAAAATGACGACTCTTTACTTCCGACGCCGGAAAATGCACGCGCTGCAGCGCGGGTCATTGCCATTCCGGGCGGCTCCGCGTTGCGACTTGAAAATAGCGCTCTCTGAGGCGGGCTGGACAGAGCGGCTTGAGCGGGCAGCGGTCGGCGTGCGCGAGGCGTGCGGGCCGAGCGGAAGAAGACAAAGTAGACGGATTGCAAATATCGTCGCTGCCCGGCGCTGCCGCACCGCCGCTGTGCCGGTGGTCCAGTCTGACAATAGTCGCGACCGGCCGACTCCTCCACTGCCTATGCGACCATCTGGACGGGCAGGGCAGGGCCCGGCAGGGCCGCCTCCGCCACCGGCCATCTGGCCGCCCTTCCCCGTGCGTTCGGCCGGACGAACTTTGACCAAATTTGCGGAATGGGTTTTCGTGCAGTTTCCCAACCACCCTGCCCTTTTCGCCCGGTGATTTGGCCGGCGGTTGGCGGGATGGTCCGCTTGGCTTCCCCGTGTGCTCCGACTGGTGCCCGCCTGCCGCCGCCATCTGGCCGCGTCGGCTGTGTTGTGATTTCCGGGGCCCCCGTCGGAGGCCCTGGTTCCGACCCTGCGCCCTTGCGACCGACCATCTGACCACCTGTCCGAGCCACCCCGCCTCTGTTGACAGCCCCGTCGGTCTGTCACTGTCTGTCTGTCTGTCTGTCTGTCTGTCTGCCTGTCCGTCTGTCCGGCCGTGCCGCAGCGAGGTGCAAAGGCGGTAGCGACGCGGGTCATCGGCATTGTCCAGCGGCGGGGCGGGGCGGGGGGGGCGGGCGGGGCGGGGGGGGCGGGGCGGGGCGGGGCGGGGCGTGGCCACCCGTGGGCGGACGACTTGAGGCCGATATAACCGAGAAAAAAAGGAGGAGGGGGTTCGCTTTGATCCGAGCGCCACTCGCGAACGCATGAGCCTTTGTGTCCGACCTGCGCACACGCTCGCACTCACACACAGACGCTAGCCCTCACACACACACACACACACACACACACACACACACACACACACACAAAGGCATTATTCCGATTTTCCCGAGCAAATATTATTTTTTCATGAATATAAAAAAAGGAAGGGACATCGCAAAGCGCGGCGGAATTTATGATCGCCGCGAGGGGATTTTAAAATTCGCGCGCCATCCTCCTGAGGCGGACGTGACAACACTGTCGCCGTATATCAGCGCCTTGTTGCTTTTTGACGCGTCTCGTATCACGGTGCAGGCCGAACATCTCTCTCTCTCTCTCTCTCTCTCTCTCTCTCTCTCTCTCTCTCTCTCTCTCTCTCTCTCTCTCTCTCTCTCTCTGGTAGACAGGGGCGTCTCACAGGGGTGCGAGAGAGACAGAGAGCGCGCTGTCCGGAATCAGTCCGCAGGGCCCCGCTAACGAGACATAAATAAAGCCATCGCTCGGCGCCGCGCCTCCACACCGTAAGCCCCGCCGTCGCTGCCCGTCCGCTTTCCGAACGCGTTTGACGTGGACTCTGACCTCGGCCTTCTCGTGTCGGCGGCGCTAGTGTCGGCTTCGCAGAAATTGCTGGCGTCGGCGCGCCGCGCCGCCCGCACCTGCACTGTGAGCATGGCAGGCGCTGCACCCGCCTAATGCGACTGTCCGCACACTGTCAGCGCTTTCCTCGCGTCTGGCTTGCAGTGCAGCAGACTGAGAGTCGCTTTCGTCGCTCTGTCTCTCGCACTCGTGGGGCGTCCCGTAAGTGTGCGAGAGAGACAGCGACAGTGCCACACACGCGGTGGCGTGCTTCCGGACGCGGCCGGGCCGCGGTTCATTCTGAGAAGAGGCGCTTTGGCGGCGCGGCACTGCAGGGTGGTGCACAGTGGGCCAGAAGACCGATGGAGGCGGACGTAACTCTTGACGCGTTTTGAGCTCCAGAGTCGCTAAACAGGCCTCGAACCGAACGTGTGACCCCACCAATGGATTCCTCGTTCGGAGAGCAATCCATTGGTGGGGTCACACGGTCGGTTCGAGTCCCACTTAGCGACTGTAGAGCACAGAACGCGTCTAGAGTTTCGTCCGCCTCCACCGGTCTTCTGGCCCACTGTGCGGTGCAGGGCGGTGCAGGGCCCAGCTGCTTTCACCCAGAGTGCCGACGCAGCGGGCAGCTGCAGGCCGGCGCCGAACGACCAGCGCTGTCTCTCTCGCACCCCCACGCAGTGCCACAGGCGTGCGAGAGAGACAGAGCGACGAAAGCTCCACTTGCAGTGCGGACCTTCCCGCCAGTGCACTTGTCAGAGGCGCTCCGTCGGGGTGTTCGGTACTCGGTTCGGCACCTCCAGCGCGTCCGATTGGGTCCTCAAACTAGTGCTGGGCGGACTGCGCGCAGCTGGCCCTGGCCCGGTCGAACAGCTGTCGAACTCGCAGTCCTGATTGGAGAGGACGAAATAACCACGTGACAGTCGTTTGCGCAACGTCGCGGTTAGACACGTGTCTAGCGCCGTGACCCGGGGCCAGCGCCCTCCCTCTCTCTCTCTCTCTCTCTCTCTCTCTCTCTCTCTCTCTCTCTCTCTCTCTCTCTCTCTCTCTCTCTCTCTCTCTCTCTCTCTCCCTCTCTCTCTCGCACAGAGTCCCCGGCATCGCGTTGCAATGCGACATGAATCACTCATTGACGGCTCGGGTTGCAGTTTCTGATCGAGTCACCTTTTACTCGAGAGGTCACAGCGCCACAGCAGCGCGCGCTGGCCTGACCGCCCTAGCTCCCCATCGAAGGTTTCCCCTCACTCGCTCTGTCTCTCTCGCACCCCTACGGGACGCCCCATGAGTGCGAGAGAGACAGAGCGACGAAATGAAAGAAACGCGTCCGAAGATTCCCTCCGCCTGTGCCGGGAAGTGCAACGCGCCTCTTCGGTGTTGCTCGGGCGTTCAAGTCTCTGTCTCTCCGCGCAGTGTATCAACTCGCCTCTAATCATATCCATACCGCTTGCCCCGCCGCGCCAATTATGCCCGGCTTTTGTTTCTGCGCAGTGGCCGGCAGTGGCCAGGGTTCGACGCCCGGCCGCGGCCACTGTGGAAAAAAAAATTCGTACTTTCGTGCGGAAAGTGCACAGAGGAATACTGCATGGAAGTACGGGAAAAGGTGCAGAACGTTCGTCCTTCTTCGATATGAACTCATGTAAAGTTGGTACAAAAGCTCCATAGTTGGTTGCTACTCCTGGTCTGGACAAATTGGTGACCAGACTAGTTCCGAACTTTTTCGGTACTCATTTCTCCCAGTGTGGGCCGCTCGGTTGAGAATCCCGCCAAAATACACGCCGCACGATTCAAGCCAAAGCCTCGCGGCGGACCGCTTGAAAGTCATCGCGGAATCGTATCGGTTTCAGTTCGACGGCGCCGCGCTGCGAACGAGGACCGTAAAACAAGGGGCGGTGACCTTTTTTTTTATCTCGCAGGGTCATTACAGTGTGGCGACAAGACGTATAAAAAGGCGCCATCTTCGCTAATGAGTTTGATCCGCGCCAAATCGATGACGATCGGGACGCGGTCAGTTTGTCCGTTATCGCTGCTCAAACGGCGTGTCGTTCTGGAGAGAGAGAGAGAGAGAGAGAGAGAGAGAGAGAGAGAGAGAGAGAGAGAGAGAGAGAGAGAGAGAGAGAGAGAGAGAGAGAGAGAGAGCGCTGGCTGCCGGACACACTGCAAAGGCGTAATGGCCGCCTACCCGAACTGCGCAGCGCATCCGCGTGAAGCTGGAGGGCCGAAGGAAAAAACTAAAAAAGCAACGACCCCGTTTGCCAGTGTGCTGCCGCCTGGCGGGCCGGCCGGCCGTGGGTACTTTATTGCCAAGGGGCACGCGGGCGGTCCCCTGCGGTCCCCTCATGTATGCCGTGAGCCGAGGCGAGGCGCGGCGAGGCGAGCGGGAGCAGGGGCCAGCAGGTTGCTGCCCACACCGCCCCTCCGCCCCCCGCCCCGCGGCGCCGCGCCGCCACCTGCGACTGCCGCCGCCCCTAGCGCCGCCCCCCGCGGAGCCACCCCGCCGCCCCCAAGCTTTTCCGGTCGGGCTCGCCGTGAAGTTTTCCCAGAGGTGCGGCTCGGCCCGGGGGGACGTCCCCCTCGCCGGGAAACGGGGCGTCTTTGTGTCGCCGCGGGACCGCCGCGCCGCCGCGCCGCGCTCTCTCAGTCTCTCTCACTCTCTCGCACGCGCTGCATGCACCCGGACCTCCGCGCCCCTCTACCCCTCCCTCGCCCCGCCGCCCCACCACCCCGCGGAGCCCTTCGGTGGCACACTCTCGCATGCCCGCGCAATGTCCATGTGGCACTTGGTCTCTGATTCATTCTCTCTCTCTCTCTCTCTCTCTCTCTCTCTCTCTCTCTCTCTCTCTCTCTCTCTCTCTCTCTCTCTCTCTCCCTCTCCCCCTCTCCCCCTCTTTCCCCCTCTATCTGACTCCCCCGAATGAGTGCGAGAGAGACAGACCCCCGTTTGCCTGCAGGTAAATCAGCCTGCAAGTCAGATTTATAAGAGGATTCATTGATTTTGGTTGTCAACCTACAACTCAACCAAATCTCAAACTACAAACTCCGAACGCACCTGTTCAGACGTTTGACTGGGACCGTCGCGCGGCAATGCGGGGATCGCACACTAGAGGGTCACCTACAGTGCCTCGTAGGGTCCAGGATCACCGCGGCAAAACAAAGGCAAGGGGTGTCGAAGGGGTACTCACTGTGTGCTGGTGGTGGGTGCTGTCGGCGGCGGCGGCGGTGGTTGGGTCACGTGGCGGCGGCGGTGGAGGCGGTGGAGGCGCTGGCGGCGTCCCGCGGTGGTCGCGGTCGTCTCGACGTCGTGCCTCGCCGGCCGCGGCCCAGCGCTGCCGCGACGGCGCGATGTTGCTCCGGGGGCCGGTCGGCGGGCACTGACGCGCGGGCGCGACTCGGACCCCGCCGCCCCCCACCCCCCTCCTCCAGCGGGCCGCGGAGGGGCTCCAGAAGGGGCTGTCCGTCTCTCTCGCTCCGCGGCCGCACGCCATTGGTCGGCGCGCCCCCGCCGCGCTCGCGGCCGAGCCTTCCCATTGGCCGGCGCGTCCCCTCCACTGTCGAGACGCGCGGCGCGGAACGGGTTTTCCGGACGCAGCCCGACGGGCCGTGGAGCCGCGGCGATCTCGACAGAGGCGCGCCGGCATGGAGAATCGGACAGTGAATCTGAATGTGATGTCTAAAAAAATGCCAAAAATTACCCTGTTTTTAGGGCTTTGTATTTAACATTCTAACTGTGGCTCCACGGTCATAAGACGACGTTAGTTGTTCACAAATTTTATAAATTTTAGAAGCAAAGCGGTAAAGCTTTGTCGAGGCAAACAATCTCCTTTTTTGTATGGGTGAATCGGTGATTTTCTCATTTTCATACCTGACGTAGAACACTTGCTGCAGTATGAGGAACTTAAATTGCGCTTTCATAATTTCAACATTCGGAGAATGCATGCTTAAAACATTGCGAATAGTATTTTGAGCACACACAGTGCAACCTAGTTAATTTACTGATATACGAAGGAATAGTTCGTAAATTACGAAGTATTTTGCATGTAAGCTTATGTACGCTCAAGACACTTTGTTGTAACAAGCTGATTTTCTTTGTCAAGCCTGAAATACTTTGTAAGGTTTCCAGTGTGTGCGAACATTGTCGACGTGACTCGCCGTGGAGTCCTTTCTCCGACGACACCCGCATCGCAATGCAACTCGAATTTCAAACCGAAATTCTTGCGCAGCGTTTTTCCCGTGCGTTTCTTGTGTCCCCAGGCGTCCCCACTCCTCTGCTGCGTCGCCCAGCTCGGCCTAGCACAGCCTAGCGCAGCCCAGCGCAGCCGGGCGCGAATCCATACAAGGATTGATCTTGTTGCTGACTAGACTCTCGTCCAGACGCCACAGCCGTGACGTGTGTAAATACGCAACATGCGCATTATTTGGAAGCGCGTGTTTCGTCTCTGTGTCGCCGTGGAGAAAGAGACGACCAGTGCACGCCGCTGCGGCGCTCGAGGCCGACCACTTTTTCTATTGAAATGTTTCTGCCGAGATGAAATGGTACATATTTGCTGACGGCTTCTTTTTGACGGCTCGCGTGGACTCTGTGGAAGAGCTTTGCGGTGTTGGTGACCGGCGTGACGGATTCTCTGCTGGACTTGGAACAGCTAGGTTTGTTGTGTGCACTGGGATCGCTGGAGGCGGTCAAAATCCCGGACGCGTTTTGAGCTCCAGAGTCACTAAAAGGGACTCGAACCGAACCTCGAACCGAACGTGTGGACCTGCAAATGGATTGCTCTCTGAACGAGGTATCTGTTGGTGGGGTCACACGTTCGGTTCGAGTCCTGTTTAGCGACTCTGGAGCTCAAAACGCGTCTAGAATTTTGGCCTTGTCTTCTGGCCCACTGTTCACTGCGGGCCCCTGTTGGCAGGCAATCCCGCCACGCGGCACTGTGTTGCAGTGGTGCCTACCCTGGGATTCGCAGGCGCTTTCCAGCAAGACAGTTTTTAAAAATGTAATCGATAATAGCGGTTTATTGATTTAATCTTCCAATGTCGCAAAGCAAAAACTTACATTGTCGCTCCTGGCTGGTTTGTCACCACGCTGGCGGCGAGGCGCGCGAGGAACGCACCGATTCAAATGACTGCGCGGGGCGTGGCTGTGGACTGACTGTCGTTTTCGTACCTCTCTCTCTCTCTCTCTCTCTCGTCCTCGCGGAGCTTCCCGTAGAGGTGCGAGAGAGACAGGGTGACTCTCGGAGAAGGCGGTGGAATGAGACGCGCAGGCCAATTACCCTGTCCAGTGGAGGCACCGCCTTGAGGCACCGCCTTGACAAACCAGCCCGATCGGCATGCGCGAGCCGCGACACCTCGGCGACAAGGCGGCAAGGCGGTGCCTCTCGGAACGCGCTCGGGAATGCCCGCCACACCGCGTCCCTTCCCCGAACTGGGTGAATCCAGGCTAGCTAATTCGTAAACACAACTATTTCGCCCCCCCCTCAAAAAAAAAAACTGAAGTGTGACATTTGAGTGCTCAATTTTTACACTCAGTCAGAACGCACTTAAATTTTCGGTGATGTTTCATGAACCAAGATAACGTACGTACCTGCATCAAGCGAATGAACTTCACTGTTTGAAATAAATTCGCTAAATTCCAGTCAATTATTTTGGTTCAAGAAACTTTTCTAGGGGAAGGGGGGGGGGAGTTGTTGAAACCATTTCGAAGACTTGTCATATTCAAGAAGCGAACTCTGTACTTGTCATAAGAAGAAATGCCCACGAAGTATTTTGTGCTGACGGCCAAAGTGCTTCGTAAAATTGCTCACAATTTTTGATGCTGTTTGTCGAGATTTTAGAGTGTGCCATATCCACCCTGAGAACGTCACATTTCCTGACAAACCCCAACAAACCAATCTTTTAAGCGTGTTGTTTTTGTTTTCAAACGCGTCTCGTCTGGCTCCGATATGGTGCGGACTCACCCTCCCAATGCCTCACTCAGTCATTTCACGTATGATTAAATTATTTTCGAACCCTCGGATGGATTAGCCTCACGGCGAAGTATGCGGATCCGCTTTTGTGTGTGTGTGTGTGTGTGTGCGTGTGTGTGTGTGTACGTGCGCGTGTGTGTACGTGTTCCTACAGGCGGACATACGCAAATACTCCGGGCGCCGTGGCCATAAAACGGGCGAGCGCGTTGCCATGCATTCCGCACGAGCCGCGCAGCCCCTACCTGGCCGTCGCTCCGTCTCTCTCGCACTCGTGGGGCGGCCCGTCGGGGTGCGAGAGAGACGGAGCGAACTGGCCGCGGGCCGGGCCCCCTTGGGGCCACCCACGCACGTGGCACGCGTGCAGGCCGCTTCGCCTTTGGCGTGTCCACGCGTGTCCGACCGTGGCGCCATCCTCGGGGAGGCCGCGGCGTGTGCGACGTGTCGGCCGATGCGTTTACACTCGTACGCTACACTGTAGCGGCGTGGAGAGTATAGACACCCACAGTAGTGGTCTGCCAATCTCGAATCAAATTATCTAAAAAAAAAATCCTTGAATCAAATCCTACAAAAAATTCCTTGTGTCGAAATTTTTTAAAAATTCTTGGAATCGAATCTGAAACCAATTTCCTAGAGTCGAATCTGAATCAAATTACTTTGAATCAAATCTGAAACAAATTTCGTGGAATGGAATGTGGAAAAAAATGCTTTGAATAGAATCTGAAAAGTTTTCTTGAATCGAATTTTAAAATATTTCTTCGATTCAAATCTTAAAAAATTTCTTCCAATCGAATCTCAAAATTTTTCTATGAATGGAAACCTACATTTCTATCAATCGAATCGAAGCCCTGCTTATTCCATTGGGTTCGGGAACGAGTCGAATAAGACAAACTTAAACCCAAAATGAGCAAAATCGTCGTTATTTTTGACCCGAGACGCACAAGTTAAAACCCCAAGGCCTCCTATTCTACTACTAAGCAGCCGGGCTTCCAGAAAAAAACATCTCACCGTGCGCGCCAGATTTTTGCGAGTGGAGCGGCCGACGTTAGTGAGTCTGCTGGACACTAACACGGTGCGCCTGTCTCGTTAGCAAACTCCATTGGTCAATTATTTGGTCAAGTGAGAGTCAGGTCATTGGGCACACGCGGGCCGGGACAGCGTTAGTCACCCGACCGCGCAGCACCGCGCAGCGGAGCGGTTCCGAACGGCGCTCTCTGTCTCTCTCGCACTCGAGCGGCGTCCCGTGGTTGCGAGAGAGAGACAGAGAGAGAGAGGCAGCCTGCAGTGCAGCGAGCGGGGCGGGGCGGGGGCAGGGGACGGCGGAGATGCCGTTTGTGTGCAGAATATGTGCCAATCGCCCTCCCTGCGTCGGCATGGCGTGGCGTGGCGTGCCCGTCCACTGCACTGGGTCCCCGCGGATGCATCTGGAACGCGTCAGCCGTCCGACCGGCCGGCAGGCCGTCTCCGTCCGCAGCGCGTCCGTCCGCCGAGGCGCGTCGCGTCAGCGCGCGTCGCCGCGTCGCTCGGCGTCGCTTTGGCCGTCAGCCGGCCGTCAGCTGTGGCACCGCAGGCTGCCGCAGGCTGCCGCAGGCCCCGTGGGTGCTTCGTTACCTCCGCCTTGTGGCACGCCACGCCACGCCATGCCACGCCACGCCATGCCGCGCCACGCCATGCCACAGCGCGGCGGCGGTCCGATGCAACAACAGGTCCTGCATTCAATGCGCTCAGAGACGCGCACACTCAGCGATGCGGGTCAAAACTTTCCAAAAAAAGCTGTTTTTGTTGTTGTTGTTGTTGTTGTTGTTGTTGTTGATGATGTACGTCTGTACATTTTCCGTACAAAAGTACGGAATTTTTTAAAAGTGTAGCAGCCTTTGTAAACTTTTTATTTGTGTTGTCGAACTATGATTAAATTCGTTTTCAGCGAATTCTGATGTTCTGAGAATTCTGAGGCGTCGCAGGTTTCTTCAATACTTTTAGGATCTTAAATAGGCACTATGCTATCGAAAAGACAACACAGTGAGTTGTTTGTTAGAAGGATTTACACGGAACCATTTTGTTTCTTTTCACCTCGCAGACTTTTAACTTGACCCTGTCCAGTCCGTTACTGCGCCCTCTCTCTCTCTCCCTCTCCGTGTGCTGCTCACTCCCTCTGGCGCACTGTCTCCGCGCGGACTCTGCCCGGTCATGTGTCATGTAGCGGTCGACTTAATTGCTGGCGTAGCGGCTAATCTGCAGGCCGTATTGTTTGTTTGTTGTCGATGCTTTATGGCCGTTTTGCTGAG